TTTTTTTTTTTTTTTTTTTTTTTTTTTTTTTTTTTTTTTTTTAAATGCAGCCCAGGATATAGTTGGTTTCTGGGCTGAGAAGGTACATAGCTATTCAGTCTGACCACCTGCCAGCCACCAGTTGTCCTAAGTCTTTTTCCACAGGGCTTTGCTCAATCCCTTAATTCCCCAGCTTTTATTGATAGTGAATGATAGTGATGACCATCTCATGCTTATCTACATATTCCCCAAGAGCAACTTGAACACGTTCCAATAGTTGATCTTAACTTAGGCACAAATTCTGCTTAGGAAAAACGCGACATTTTCCTCTACTTAGAAACTATAACCAACAATATTTCCAAAAACGAATCACACAACTACTAAGGAAGTCACTAATACCCAAAGTCAAATACTTTCAAGTACATTATTCATTCACCTATTTTCAACTCTCCCCACCAACCAGAGAATTATGTCAGTGCACCTGTGACACTACCCACTTTCAGCTGTTAATCTACCAGTTAACATTCTTCACAACATTTGAACTAATCTCTGCCCTCTTATCTCACCACCTTTCCACTTCAGCCAAGCATTAAAATTCTCAGTCTTATTTCTGTTATTCTATTTTTTATTTGTTTCTAGTCGGCAACTTCAAACAACACGGAGCATCTGTCTTTGTTACTGTTCTGATCACGTAATCTTTTCAAGTGCTGAGAGTTCTTTCAATCTGGTTTCAAACTTCCTGCTTCTGCTCTTAAATGATTACGTAATTCTTCAATTCCTTATCCAAACATGCTTTTTTCCCCCTATTTAACTCTTTACACTAGCTACCAGGCTTTCCACCTGCATACTTTTGCATTTGCATCCTCTGAATAGCAGTATCTGTACTTTATCTTCTGCTATTTTTTTGCCGCAATATACACAAAATATTAACCAGCAAATATTAGATAGTTACAGGGACAATACAAACTTAAATTGCTATCAAAATTTGTCCACTCATCACTGCTGAGTGACTACATCTTTTCTATGCTTACCATTCCTGATTACCCTTCAATTACATCAGGAACTACATGTCCCTTTGTGCTTATCCAAAGTAGTTCCAAATAACACACAATACTAATATATTAATTACAAACAGAACTAAAATGATTTTATCATAGCATTTCACATTGCTTCTAGGAAATAAATCAAGTTGCACGAAACTGGTCTTCAGTTGAAGTAAGTAATATTTGAAGAAGTAATACCAGGTATATACCTTCAGTATCAAAACAAAGCGTGTTGATGAAACTTTTGTGACCATCAAGCTCTTGTAGCAGTTGCCCATGGATTTCTTTCACACTGGCATTCCATATTCTAATTACAGCATCATAACATCCTGTCACCACCAAAGAGTCAGAAACTGGGTGGTACTTAGCAGTGTAAACAAATGAAGGATGAGGGAAAACCTTCACTGCAGATGCAACTTGTGTTTCAATCTTCCACATTCTAAAAGGAAAAAACGTTAGGATATCTACTGAATAAAGCAATCATATACATGGGTAAAACTGATGCCTTACTTTATGCTAGTGGTTCTAAAGTCAAATGCTTGCAAACACTTAACAGCCATTTTTAATCATCCCAATTTGTTCCACATATAATCCTTTAATAGGCTATTTTCAAACAAGAATTAAGGTACATCTAATACCTCACATAATACTCTGTCTTCTAGGTAAATTCAGGAGTACTTATTTAATGGATATTTTGCACATTTTAAAATACACTAGGTATTTCATGGAATGGCTTGGGTTTTTTTTTCCTTTCTTCAGTTATAAACACATTATTAAAAGTTAGGTATCATTACAAGAAAAACAAAATAGAAGTAAAAAAAGAATAAAAGCACAACTCACAAATGCGCATTCAGAACCAATAAAAAAAATTAAAAACCCAGAAAATTTTAAAAGCAATTATCTACCATACAGTGGCGATCATGATCTCAAAGACATTTTCTTCAGATAAGTGCATAGTAAGAACCGAGTTTATTTCCTGTCCTTCACTATCCACAGCTGTAATATCAAGTTTTTCTTAAGAAATGTTGTTTCATGCTCATCTGTTGAGCCTTTTCCTAAGATGAACCCATAAATGCAATGGTACACGGACTATGAAATAGAGGCAGATAGCACCCTGCAGAGAGCACACAGTCACAAGGTGGAATCTAATTGTTTGAGTGCTTAGTTTGAGGTTTTGTTTCCAGCGAATGCTGAAGAATTCTAATATCACTCTGAGGTGAGCTCATTACAAAGTTACAGTCCCTAAGAGTACATCTATTAACTTGCAACTTAATGTACAAAGTCACAAACCTATCTTAGAATGGTTTTGCTCTAACAGCAGAAAAGCTTATTTATTGCTCGGAAATAATGAGATATTAAATCTTAGGTAGGCTCAAAGGCAGCATTGCCAGTAGAAGACATTGTATAAAGAAGGATTAACTTCTGAGTTTTCCCTTCAGCCTTTCGTACAACTCTCTGAGTGATGATCCAGGTAATAAACTAATATGACTTTAAAATAACAAAGGTTCTTTCCCTGCTTATCCTTTAATTCTAATATGTTTCAAAAGTCAAGTAATTCCAACATTAAGGGAAAAAGAAGGAAATTCTTCCCTGAACTGAGTCACTTTGAAGGCACTGGACAATAAACACAGGAAATAACTCATACTATGATTACGCATAGCACACAGAAAAGGAGGTAGATGGCTGCAGTTTCATCTTGCTGCCACAAATTCAAGAATTTAGGAATATTCATGGCATTCATACAAATAAATAAAAACAACTGAAACTGACACCTCCTGTAATATAAAAAAACCACCTTATTTTACCCCAGTCCAAATAAAATAAACAAAATATTCTCTTTATTCATACACAGAAAAAGATAGGGGGATAGCAAAAAAGCTCCACACATATATCATTTAACAATTCTTCTGGTATTTTAATTATGCAACTCCCTGTAGCATTACTGAATTGCGTAACAGAAGCAACAGATAGGGATCTGAAGAACTTAAAAAAAAAAAAAAAGCCTATGAAAACCTATGAAGTTGCTCATAACAAAATTCTGCAGTGTCATGGGCATATTTTCCTGTTTTCTACAGTTTGAGAGTTTTGCTTCTAAACCTCAAACAGACCAGGATTTTAGCGTTAACACCGCATGGTAGTACACTTTTTAATTGTTACACATTCAGACATTGAAATAAGACAGTGCAATTCTAATTACGGTAATTTAAGTTGCAATATTTAGCTATATGTCCAGAAAAATCAAAATTTACATACGTGCAAAATGGCAGATTTAAACACATTTCACAAATTTTAGATTTTCTATTTCCTGCCTCAGGTACAAATTTGCAAGTCTAATGTAGAGTACACAATGTCAGTTTCTGCAAGGACAGAATATTCCAACTGCATCAATGATTTCTTGAAACATAGAGCCTTTTTTATTCATTGGTTTGCTGGGCTTTACATTCAGATACTACTATTTTTTGTGAAAGTTTTACTCTCAAATATACACACACAAAATTGTGTCATTTTCTTTCATGCTGCTGAAGCTATTTACCAGAAGATTTCTATCATACGTACCTGACAGTACCATCAGAGGATGCAGTAAGAAGGTGTTGACTGTCCTTTGACCAACAAAGATCATACACTATGTTAAGGTGACCATAGAATTCTCTCAGGAACTGTCCAGAAGGAATTTCATACACTAATGAAAGTTTAAATAGAACAATAAACATTTTGAAAGCATTAACAATCAATTGTACACAAATAAAGCAAAGATTAGTCTAACCTGAGGCTGAGTTTTTGCTAGTACTAGTTTATTTTCTTTACATTCTCATTTTCAGAAAACAGTAACAAACAGTTGCTAGATGTGCATGGACAGCAAGCATACACTTCCATCTAGTGGTTCACAGATGTCACGGATGTCTTAACTCTTCCTAACTCTTCAGATACTGGGCCCAACAGGTTTAAATTATTAAAACCACAATTAAGATAAAGTACATTAGTTACAGAAAAGTACTCCACAGTTTTAACTTACAAGCAATGGGATAGCCATTCTTTCCTGCACATGCTGCTGCCAGGGTTCTTCCATCGTGAGAGAAACGAATACAGAAACACCCCATATCTCCACCTCGCAGTGAAAACAGATGTTTGTTTGGAATGCGACAAGCCTAGCTTTTCAGACAAGAATTGGGATTACAGAGTTATAAATATTGACTGAACAACACTCAAAACACTTTCTCAGCTCTTGTCTTGCATAAGTTTTCAAAAAAAAAAAACAAAAAAAAAACAAACAAACCTCATAAACAGAGAGAGTGTAACTTCCACCACATTTAGCTTGTCTAACAGAAATGAATATACAACTGACAAGTCTTTAAAACTCAAGGAAAACTAAAAAGAAAAAGCCCTTCATTTTAAGATACACTTAGCTATGACTATCCTTCATATTATATGCTATGGAGTTAGCAACTCAAGTTTCATTAAGTAGTCTAAGTAAAACTTTCAGTAATTTAATAGCTGCAGTGTGAACTCAGAAAACTAACTACAGGCACACAAAAGTTTGGTCTGCCAAATCACCTTCAGCATTCCTCATCGGTATTGTAATTCCCTATTATTAATATTTTTCCAATGTTTAACTGTCAAAAAGTTATATAGGTATTAGTGTTTTATCATCTCTTAAAACACCTCCTCTTTTATCCATGGGCTTTTTCCTCAAAACTAAATTCAAAACTTAAGAGAAACTAAACAAACCAGAATAGTCATTTGACTATTTAACCTAAATTTGATTTATTTTTCAGAATGACAAATGAACAGATTTCTATGCACTTAAAATATACAAATATTCTTATGATCTGTTTATGAAATAATTTAGTATATGTTCTTCACTTAAGAATACAAGTAAATGCATCTTGGTAAAAACTATATATGTGAGGTGGTGTATTTTTTCTTTTTAACCACTCTTTAAATTAGAAGATTACAACGTTGAATCAATTTCAGCTTCAAAAAAAACCACACATTTTACTTATACTTCATATAGCTTGAGTTCATATAAAAATATTTCATAGGAAACTCAGTTCACAATAGAGCATTTTGGAAAAATATCATCTATATTTATGGAGACATAAGAATAAATTATCTTTAAAATATATTTTTAAAATAATTTTTCTGTATACAAAGAAAATAACAACCTTGAATGATTTTTTTTTTTTTTTTTAGAAAAACATTGGCTTTAGTATTCTTCAGAGCAACATCCTCCTAACATTACAAAAATGTTTTCAGTGGACATCATACCACAAAACAGATCACTGTTGGTAACAAAGGTTTAGTTAAGAATAAAGGAGCTGTCAATTTTATTTTTATTGCAAACTAATATTCTTAGGATTTTTCTTTCACTTCTCTTTAAATAAACACTTACTTGCAGAATGGCAATTCTTGGAAAATTAACATTAACATGAATGAACATTTCAGGGAACCTGCCATTTGTAGCAAGAAAATCCGCACTGTGAAACAGTCTTACCTATTCTTTAGGATTATAATTAGCAAACATTACTAGGAAATAAAGGTTTAGATATGTTGAAGTGTTCTCCTTGAAAGTAGGTGTACGATTTAGCTTAAGCTTGAGAACTGTCTTCCTAACTTACGTACTTGAATAGCCTTTCAGATGCCAAGAGAATTCTGAAGATGAAAACACTTGACTCTTTTGGGAAAAACAGTTGGATGAACTACATTGGTTGGAAGCTGTGCCTTCCCTGCTACCTCAGAGAGATCTTTGCGTTTTGTGCTTTTAGTAGTGTTGTTTTGTTCTTTCTCATGTTTTAATGCCTCATAACACATCATACAGATAAAGCTATTAAGAGGTAATAAAACTTTAAATTATGTTTTACTTCAAAAGGAAAATAAAACACCTCACCTGTCCAGGAAGCCTTGACCACTTCAGCTGCTCTTTTTTCTCCTCTAGAGAACTGACTTCACATGATCTTTTAGATCCCTCCCCACGGAGCTCACACAGTGTTGCACTACTTTGTTCCTGTTTAACAGCCACCATAGAATGGAAAGAAGGGGCAACCTTAAGGCAAAAAAAAAAAATTATTAGGGAAAAAGTTCATAAAATAAACAGTGTCTTATCTGACAAGATTCGGAAGTACTTTTAACTTCAAGTGGGTTGTTTTTTTTACAGATGAAAAAACGAAGAGACTGGAAAGAATCTCATACATGAGACTCAAATATTAGGAAATTTATTTAAAGCAATTCATAAGTAAGTGACTTACTGTTCCTCTCACAGAATTTACACATTTGCATGAGTCCAGTGACTAAAAAAAGCATTTCTCCTAATGAGAAGGAATATCTGTTTTCCAGAAAATACCCTGAATTTTCTGTCAATGGCAGAATATGCAACGCTACAAGTGGGAGAAAGCATCTATTTTTCCAAAGATAGCCACAAAGCACTGAGTTTGGAACAAATATCTTAAGATGCAAAGTTGTATTATAGCTAGTTATGCACTATTTTACATTCTACACACAAGGCTAGCATTTATATACATGCACACATATGAGACACACACTGAAGCTATTTACACAGATTTTTCTGTAGCAGCCTAGTACCAGTAAATATATAAAATCTAACTTACATGATCTGGCAGTTTTATGCCTCTTACAGTAACATATAAAGTTGATGGGTAACGACTTCTAGGACATTTTGCCCACCAGTCATAAACTTCAACAATATCTGAATGTGACCTGGTCTTTGAAGGTGGGTAATACAATTGCAGACGGAGTCTTCCATCAACGTTTAGAACTCCATTTGCACCAACAAGCTGTAAATGCGATTAAAAAGAGAAGTGTGTAATGCTGTAATGCTATAACATGATTGAAAACACAGCACTGACAGTGGGGTAGAAGGGTCTACGCTGCAGCAAGCGAGGATAAGCCCAAGCACAGTAGGCATAGATGCAGAAACAATGGCAAAAAAATAAAAGTAAAAATGCTGTTCACCTTTAGAAAGCCTTAGACAACCAGGAATTCCAGCAAGATACCCCAGCCTCCACTGCCAACCCTTAAAAGACACCTGGGAGGGAGTGAATCTTGACTCTACCCCTTCCAGTCACTCAGGTGCATTGCATACACCTGAGCTCCCCTAGGTTGGCACTACCTTCCCACCAGGTGCTCAATCACTGGTTAATGACTTAACATTTCCACTACAAATGTTTAAACAAAACTAATAAAAATCTTTCATTATTTCTAATATTACAAATAAACACAGCATAAATTCTGAAATCCACTTTCCTCTGGGGAAGATTATTATTCCTAAAAGTGGTAATGAAATAATTAAATACCTTAATCATGAAATCAGAAAGACTAACACTTAGACAGTGGTCTAGTTCTTACAGTATATTTCACATGCACAGCAATGATATCCTGCAGATGGGAAGACCTCTGCAGTCTCATGTATTTATTTTTTTTTAAATAACCATTTGCTGGAATCACCGAAATCCTTAATGACTGTGAATCCATAAAAAATCTCTTCCAAATCTGCCTCCTCATCCACACTTGGGTTGTTAGATTTAGGGTAGAATGGTTAAGTTACAGTTGGACTTGATAATCTTAAAAGTCTTTTCCAACCAGGGCAATTCTGTGATTCTATGATAACTTTGATTTCTAGAGCTCAGGGCATTACTAAGACTGACTCAGAGCAGAAGATATAATAAAAATTTTCACACTTCAGAGGAAATTGATGTAAATAGAGTTAGAAAAGTAAATTGCTATTCCTCTCTGAACATTAAGTCATACTGTCAGAACAAGTCAGAAGTTAACACTTATGCTTTTCATTCTGTGTACCTACTGCCATTAACATTTATCTAGACACTTCTACACTCGTAGACAGATGAAAAGATAATGCAGACAGATGCAACAGTAATGAAGAACAGGTCAGTTTTATTTATATTTATGAGCTTGAAGTCCATCCTTCCTTTCATTCAGGAGCACAGCTCTAGCTGTATGCACACCCAGATAGGGGATTCTGATTCCTGTAGAATCATCTTGGGATGAGATAAGAATCATTACAGAATGATCAGGAGGTCCCTGTGCTTTCCCATAAGCTTGCAGTCCATTTATCTTCTCCTGTATGTCTCATGTTATGGACTGCTTCACGGCTGTCAAAATTTATCATCCACAGAGGTAGTTAAAAATGAACAACCCTGAAGCAGGTTAAAACATATAATAATCTTGTTAGATCTTAAAAGCCCAAATGAAGACACTTGAGTTTCCCCTAAATAGAGTTAAAAAAGCACGACATGCAGGCTCTATCTCACTGCTGCAGCATCTCAAGCTCCGCAATTAAAAATGGCAGTCATTTTATTATCAGGCTAGGGAGTCTTTCTGAAAACTGGTCAACTGAAAATAGCAAGTTCCTACTTTCCCTGTCCAAGATAGTCTCTTACTCTTGATGAGCAAATAAAATGTGGAAATTATTCGACATTCTATATCCTCTTGAAAAAATAGTTATTCTTTACTGAATTTCCTCTGGACTTGATCTAGAGAAGAGAGAAGGAAGGATGTGAACAGGCAGGAAAGGATTTGTTTTTCATCACCGCTGCCCGGAAATATTCAAAAGTATTTTACCACTTACTAGTAGTTATTTTATATAATTAAAAAGGTTTCTAATATTTTCTTCTTTTAAAAATTCACAATACCTTTAGAAATGCCCAGCAGATTTTTCGGAAACCACAGTCCTGAATTTGTGCATCAGAGTTGACTCTCGCTTCATCCATACTTAGAAAATCAAGGATCTGCAAGCATTAGTAGGAATATAACTGTACTTTTAGTGAATATATACTTTACAGCAATAAAAAAAAAAATACCACTAAAAACGCACTAGATGTGATTTATCACAGATTTCATTTTTATAAATTAAAAAAAAAAAAAAAAAAAAAAAAAGTACTTCTTCCACACAATGACACAATTAGAAGCAAAAGGACCTTTTGCATTTACCTAATGACTATTTATGATCTGTTTCAAAAACGAAGTGGCTTTTTTTTTTTTTTTTTTTAAGTTAAGTTTTTTTTTTTTTTTTCCCTTTTTTCCAAAAAAAAAAAAACAGGAAAAAGATCATGAATAATTTTCATAAATCCTACAGTTCATATACGATACGTACAGATAACATTCCTAACAGGCAAAACAAGCTGTAAAATAATCTAACTGGAAAAAGATCAGTCAAAAAGTTAATTTTCCTTCTTAACTTCATCAGTTAGCCTATAAGAGCCTTCATTTTTCTCATCAGATCAGAATCTTCTCATATATAGCAACTCCTTAAAATTTATGAAGCATATAAAAAACAATCATTTCATTTTCTAAGTTATACTTCAAAAACTATGGTGTTCAAACAGCAGGTTTTTGGTGTAGTCATACTTTTGGCTCCACCATCATAATTCCCACAAAGAATTTTAAACACAACTGTAGTTAGATCTGTGCTAAGTAACTGGAGACTCTTAATTCTAGACATGTTCATTTACGAGTGTCACAGAAAATTAAAAAAAAAAAAGCAACATACAGTGAGATTGTATATATAAGGTATTTGAATTAGAAAAACAAGGAATAGAGAAATAATATATTAGCTTTGCAATTTCAGTTAAATACTGAAGAATCTCTCTTTGTATACACTTTTTACAATAATTGAAATACTTAATCAGAAAATTGTTAAAAACCTACTCTACAATTTCTAAAATGTTAATAGAAAACAGGGCAATGGCTTGTTCATTGGTACAATGGAAAAGACACACTGCTGCAAGCACACTGACTCTGTCTTTGAGTTCCCCCCATCCTTCCCCCCTCAAGAACTTAAGCTTCTTTTCATATTTCAAGAATTACCACCCCAGATATGTGTACAGACTGGGAGAATTCATTGAGAGCAGCCCTGCAGAGAAAGACTTGAGGGCTCTCATATGAAAAGCTGGACATGAGCCAGCAGTGTGCTCTTGCAGCCCAGGGGGCCATGAAGATGATCAGAGCACTGAAGAACCTCTCCTATGCAGAAAGGCTGAGGGACCTGGGCTTGTTCAGGAGAAGTACTCTAAGAAGAGCTTACTGTGCTCTTCTTGTACTCAAAAGGAGCTTATAAAAAGATATATATTATTTAGTCTCATAGTGACAGGACAAGGGAGAACACTTTTAAACGAAAAAGGAGAGTCAGATCAGATGTTAGACAGGAATTCTTTACTGAGGATGGTGAAGTAGTGGCACAGGCTGCCCAGAGAAGCTGTGGGTGCCCCATCCCTGAAGGCATTCAAGGCCAGGTTGGATGGGGCTCTAGGTAACCTGATCTGGTGGGTGACAACCCTGCCCACAGCAAGGGGGTTGAAAACCTAACATTCCTTCCAACTCAAGTCATTCAATGTTTCAAATATGAATGTAGAAAAGAAAGTGTTATTTTTTTTACATGGTATCATCCCTCATGATTTGAAGTGATCTTAATGAGCCTTTACATTGAGTTTCTTAGCTGAGTTCATAAGAAAACTTGATTCTTACAGACCAGGGGTTTTTTTGACTTATTTATAAGTGGTGTTAAAAACACCAATGTTACTTTTTGAAACGTCCACTTAATGCTGTATGTAAAATGAAATAAAACACTTGAATAAGCCATATATACACTCTTGAATTACACACAAACTTTACAAAATCAAAACAATCAAAACATTGAAATATTTCATCTTACCTCAAAAAACAGAATTACTTGAGGGCTTTCCTCAGTGTTTTGAATAAAATAATTAAAGCGCTCATTAAATATGATTTGTTCCTCCCAATCTGGGACTGTTGACCTAAACTGTCTCAAGTCATATGGCTGTGTCATAATAGGAAGAATGTGGTCGATTTGCTCTTCCTCGTTGGAAGACACAACTTTCCTCTCCCTGTATAAAAATTTCCAGAAAGTTATAATAGTTTTAATGTCTTAAAACCACAAAACTCAAACAAAACAGTAACTTTGATTAATGAAAGCAAAGAAAAATATAAGATAACATTTGATTTTAGGGAAAAAAAATAATCAAAAAACACAAAGATTGAAACAATTGGTGAAGTACACAGAAAGTGGCACAGTAAATTCAAAAATTCTAACAATCATGCCACTGTGACCACATTTATGCATAATGATTCTGATAGAGTCTATGGCGTAAAAAGTGTTAGAATTTGCTTTTCAGGATAATTATGGATAATAACAGTGAAATGAAGTAACAGAAGTGATTAGAAAAATGTAAAGGACTGAACTTCACTTAAAGATTTTAGAAATTATTTTATGGAAATGAAAAGGCAAATGCTGCTTATACCACAAGAGTTTTGCTTGTTTATTCTAATTTGGCATCTGAGCCAAAAAAATTTGAGACACTGTTTCTCAGGAAAGAATACAGAATAAACAGTGTGGTAAACATGCAGACCTTAAAAGCAATTAAAAAAATAGCACATAATTTTAAAGAGTCAAAAAAGAATGAACATCATCCTAATTTACTGTAAGCATTATTATGCATTATCAGAGATTTAGAAGCTGTCAAGAGACCTCGTAAGCTTTGGAGTTATTTTCATGATCCATTTTAAAAGGAGAAAAAAAACATATGTATTTATAACAATCACAGACAACAGAAACAGTTTACTAAGCAAAAGTCACCTATGTTCCTTTTTGACATATAAGCCACTTTTCTGATCAACGATATGGATTTTAACTACAGGATGAGATACAAGATCAGTCTTAAGTCGATCAGATCGATGGATATAAACTCCCAACACAAGATCATCATCAGAACCAAATTTAGACTGAGTTGAAATTTCTGAAGTCCTCATTTCTTCATCATTTTCTGCAGAAACTCCTGTGTTATCTTCTATAAACAGTAAGAAACAAACAAACAAAAAACAACAACAAAACCCAGAGATTAATGTAGCAGCTTAATGAGTAAAAATATTTCATGTTCACCATAAAATTTGCAACACGGTTACAGTTTAAACACAATTGAAAACACGATTGAAAGAATATATATAAATGCATGTAAACTATTTCTATTTAAAATATTTAAAACCAGAGGTCTTCCTCTTGATTGACATAAGCTCTTCTCTGCCAGAATTACTTAAAATTGATATAGTTCACTAACCTGTCCTGGGCTATGGCCTATAATTTTATTTTATTTTTAAAAAACTATATAAGCAACAACTGATGCTTTCTCTAGTGCATTCTCCCTGAATCTACCAAACACCTGCTGAGGAACATTCCAATTTACAAGTTACAGAGAGACTGCCATCCTTAATAGTTAGCAAAACATGAATTTGTGTAATACCCCTTTTTAAAAAAATTGCTTCCTATTTTGGACTCTGCAATATTTGAAGAAATTAATTCTCCAGTATGACTACGTGCTACCTGAAAAAGTATTTCTTACATTTGAACTGAGCAGCAGGTTAAAACAGCGACAATACGTCATTTATAAAGTAAGATGTGATTAAATAATCAAAGGGTAATCAGAATATGAAACTAAATCGTAATATATAAAGCTAGGGTATATATATAAAATTCTATATTATTCCTAAAACACACTTAACATCTTCACAATTTTAAAACTAACTCAAGTAAATGAATTCTCAAGATTATATACAGATACACAAAATTAACTTCCTTACAATTGATTATTAGAATTGGAAGCAAAAAAGTACAACTACTTAAAGAAAGAGATGCAACTCCAATTCCAGTCTCAACCACTATTGAGGGAGTACTAGTGGCAAAATATTTACATGAGGAACAAAAGGAGAAAAACAACAAAGTGATTTGGATATAGCAGCACACCATTCATTTTGCTAGCAGACCTTTTTTGGTTTTCTTTTTAACCTTCTTTGCTTTAGGTTTCTGTTTTTCCATGCTTTCCTCCAGGTTCTGTTCTTCTGATGCAAATTCTCTTTCCAATAAATGATTTTCATTATTACCTTCTGCTGGATGATGCTGCAGCTCAGAAAGGGACATTGCACTGCAATGTAATGGATTACTGTCAACAATTGCATTCTGTGACATATGGAAAAACTGTATGGAAGATTCAGAATCCATAAGTTTAATATTAATGTCAAAAGTGTTCTGTAACATCTATTTCATAACAGAATTATCCAGTTATCTCACCACTTAATGCATAAACACAAAAGCTCCCTGATTGACTATCTTAGTATGATAAACGTTGCTTAAGATTCATACACAAGTGGTATACTTATCACAATACCTTGTTTCAGCTTTGCATACAACTGCTACTTCTTTCTTCTTTTTCTTCTTTTTGCCCACTTCATCACTCAATGCAACTTCACTGCTTTGAACAGCAGAGGTAAATTCAGACATCTGTTCTTTAAGTTTCATCCTTATTTTCTTTTTAATTGCATTTATCTCATTCTCAGCCACATGCAACTGATAGGCTTGAATTAGCTCTTCTTCCTCTTCTAATTCAATTGCATTTCTCACTTCAGTGAAGGAATTTTTTGCCTTTCCATCACCTCCTTGATGAGGTATGTCTGTTTGTGATTTACTTTTTGTCTTTTTCTTTGGAAAATCATTAAGCTTTTTTCCAAAACTCTCCAATTCAGCCTCACATAAATTTTCCTCCTCATTAAATTGTTCTTGTAACAATGATTTCTTTTTCTTCTTGTTAGACTTTGTTTGCTGGCTCGCCTCTCCACTAACAACATCGTTATTTATTTTCTCTGCAATTGATGCTTTCTCTCTGAGTTTATTTTTTGTAAATCGGGGACTCTCTTCTTCAGGATTGTACGTGTTGTTTATAATTGCTTCATCATGCCCACTTTCCTTTGTTAGATCGATGTTACTTCTAAAAGTGTCAAGCTATAAATGAAAAGAATATGAAATGTAATAAAATTACGTTCTAAGGATGAACATACTATATGTTATCTCTTCAGCAATATTACACAAAGTAAAATCAAGGATCTAATAGCTTTCATGTTTAAAATTAACAAGTGACAGACTGAAAGACAACAGATAATTCACACTGGAAAAAAAAAAAATGTATTTGGACACTTCACCTTCAGTACAGTTTCATATGTTTTCATATGACTCATGCATATCTAGCAAAAAGAAACCAGTAAGTCCACTCCAGTAAGTATACTGCATAAGTCTGCTTTACACTATGACAGACTGGAAAACAACATGCAACACGAAAACAAATATTTTCACCCTTTTAAAATGCAAGTTAGAGACAAGCTTCAGGGACCATAAAGAAGCTCATGTTGACTGCTAGCCTTTGATAAATCATTACTCCATCAAGCCTTGTACTAAACTTACAAGGTAAAATGTTAGTAGCAAGAGAGCTGCAGGGATAGCCTCTCTGAGCAGAGACCAGCACCACCTCGTGTCAGATTCAGCTGCTCCAACACATATTTGTCACTGTGAAAGCAAATTTAAAAAATAAAAAAAGCAGTTCCTCAGACACATAGCCTGTGTGATCTTAACTTGGGCCATGTTTTCTACACATACAATTTAATCACAAAAAGTAATTAAAACATCACTTGCATCAGACTGGGTGCTGGACAGACAAGAGGACACTGCTAGAAACATCATCTATCTGAAAAGCAGAACCACGGGAGATCAGCTAAGAGCAACTGTCTATGTATAACACACTTGATCCAAGTTAGAAAAAGCACCCCATCTGGAAAAGCAGCTCAGAGGACAGTGATACCTTTGGAATAACTCCAGCACATCCAGTCCCGACCTCATCAGCTTAAAGCATAGAACAAACAAGGTGGCTTTTTTCAGGACTGTCACATTAGGATAACTGGGCAGAGGAAGCTACCTGCCCAAGAACAGGTTTGCTTGTGCAGCTGATTTGACAGGAGAGGGTCGGGCACAGGCAAATGCACACAGGCTGGCTAACACACAAGCTAAACTCAGGTACTTTTCATTTGCCACCTGTACTCCAGAGCTGACAGCAGTTTCTTTTATAAAAAGAAACTTTTATATATTTATTTTTATTATATTTATATATTATATATTATTTATATTATTATATATATATAAATATTTATTTATATTTATATATTATTTTTATTATTTTCATTATTATTTATTTTATAAACTTCTCAAGTGCGTGTGTGGAAACCTGGAAACACAAACTGGTTTTGCTCATGGTATCAAGCATTACATGGGCAACTGTATGTCTTCCCACAACACAGATACACCTCTGAAGAATAAGAACCAGCACTTGCCAACTCACTGAAGGGCTGAGCTGGCCACTGATTCTGCTTGCAGTGAGATAGTAAAAAGAAAGCCTGAAATGGACACACATAATGCAGTCCTGCCTTGAATATAACATCTTAGTTTTCAATGTATGCTCATCTCAGTATTATCATCTGGTTAGGCTGTAGACTAGGAAAGAATTTCTTGACTCACAGTCTTGTTTGTCACCTGGTAGAAAACTTCATAGACTTTTTTTTTTTTGTTAGTTTTATATCTTCTTTTCTACCAGAAAATCTATACTGACATAAATGTATTAAATCCTTGCTTGATCTGACATTTAGCTCATTCTAATAACTTGTAATAAGAGGTACAACAGGGGAAAAAATAAGTATAGAGACTGTTAGCCTTGGAAGGGTTAATAGCAAATTCCTTTCCTGACTGTGTCTTGATGCCTTGCTTTTTCAGCCCTGCCTGGAGGTGTCAGAGCCACTGCACCTCTGGCTACTAAGCAGCAAAGTAGATCTTCATCAGCCACAGCTGACATCTATATCCATTTGCATTACAATCCCTTCATTCCTATCAGTTGTGTCTTGAAACTCATCCTGCCCTACTGCCATGGCTTCTCCCCTTCCAGTCAGACTGCTTCCTTTCTCTCCTGCTAATAGGCAACATAGAATGCAGCAGGTGAGTAGTCTCTTTATCACATCTGACAATTAAAAATCACAGCAACCTCCTGCTGTTCCAAACTCAGATCTCAAGGAAACATTGGACTATGAAGAAAAGGTTTTATTACTTTAAGAAAGACTAGGTTCGGTAAGAACAAAAGCAGCAGCCTGGGACATTTCCAGTGGAAACATGCTCTCAGCTATGACCTGTTTCTTATCAAACCTGGGAAACCATTTATGGCAAGTATGTGGCACAAAGACAAACATCACTGATGAATTTCACATTACTTAAAGATATCCGATACTCCATACAGTTGTTATATGAAGTGAGCAAAACTGGCAGAGAACCAGACAAATCTCACCATCTCTTTCTCTTGCTTTCTCACAAACACTTATTTCTCACAAAGAAATGAAAGGCATTTGCTGAATCACTCATAGAAATTCCTACCTAAATGCAGCATGGAAAATATCAACGTGAGCTCTTAAATCTTTGACAGGCTTTAAGGAAATATTCAAAACTGTCAGTGCAAGGTTTCAATACATATTGTTCTCAATTTTTCTTTTTTGTTTAGTTTTTTGATTGGTTTAAATTCACAGCTCCGCCCACACTAATACTAAAAGTGCTCCTTTTTTGGTGTGTATCAGCTTTTGCTTCTGTTCACCATGATTGTACTTCAAGCATTTCTAGCCGACTCCAAAACAGTAGTGTTTTCACATCAGAAACATTTCAATTGAAAACCAACTTAAAAATCAAAGTAAGCATTAGATTCTTATGTGAGTAGTATATAGTTGCATGTGAACATGCAATTATGTGCTCAAAAACACATCATCCTTAAAATTTACAAATTAAAAAAAATAATCATGTTTCATAGAAGCACAGAACGGCTTGGGTTGGAAGTGGCTTTAAAGGTCATCTACTCCCACCAGCATCAGAATACCCATATAGTTACATTTGTGCTGCAAAAGATTTCTGTATTATTGTGTTAGCAGGGCTTTTAGTATCACTTTTGCAGAAGTCTTACATCAGAAAATGATGGTAACCTTGCAAGGAGTTGTTAGCTGTGACTGCTGGCTTAAGTAATTTAATAGCCAGTAATGCACTGAGCTTCAACGTAGAACAACCTTCCTCCACTGTGTGTATTTCTTTTTCATAGCGAATGATCTTCAGAACAGCAATACAGTGCTTGGTGATCCTCTCTCGATTACCTTAGAACTAAAACAGGGCCATAGTTCCAATTGTCTCTGATTGCATCAGGGACTATTCAAGCAATGGAGAGGCATTGTTCAAAATGTAAGCATGGTTGAGATACTCAAAAGGATGTTTTGACACTTAATTTCTTAAGCTGTTACTAGTTGCATTTAACTGTGGCAATGTTTGCATACTATGTTTAAAAACCTGTAATACATAACAACTTAGCACAGATGCTTTTTCCTTCTTTGCTGCTGAAGTAAACCTAAAAACAGAGTACTCTTGTAGTTACACCTGCCAGCAAAGCAAAAGGTTTTTTATATTTTAAACATCACACTGATTCTCTGTATATACTATTGACAACCCAATACATGCTCCAAGGCTCACAAAGTAAATACATATATACGTACCCATAAATACTAGCTTCAGATGATCAACAACAAACTTAGGCTTCTAAGTTTTATCTCTAAGTATATTTAGTAGTCACATAATAAATAACAAATACATGTAAAGATCTGAGATGATATAAAATAGCATTCCATTGTCTTTAACAAGTTACACAAGAATGAACTTTCACTTCCAACGTGTGGAATGGATGCAACTGCTAGAAAAAAAGATAGCATGAAACCTAACAGGAAGAAAATAAGAAAAAAAAAAAAATCAAAAAACTTGTCTTTTAAGCAAATTCCTTTCCTTGGAAATTCCAATCATCGTCAATAGCTGGGATTATATAGGACTCAAACACTATGTTTCTGTTCAGGAAAAATGTTATGATATAAACTCAGAGGAATCTTTCGGGTTCTTTTAACTAGAGACATGCCACAAACAAAGAAGTCATCTAACCATGCGGTCATCTTGATAGAAGCATTCATAATCTGCAAGTCATAAGCTAAGGCATGATCTTTAAAATGGGCATACTGAATAAGTACACATGCAGCGACACAGGTAAAGCAGCATAGTTCAGCAGATGCAAAAAATACATTATTATGGAGATCAAAATGAAAAAACATTTCAAGTACCATTTACTGTTGTTTGTAAATTCCTATATCAGTAACTTTAGGGAATGAAATTGATGATGATCTAAGTTCTTATAAGTTCTCAATTCACAGATGTATTACACGTCTGTATTACTCTCAAAACCAAATACTGTTATGGCTACAATCCCACATTATTCTATCATTCAGAGTCCTACTGAAGTCAAGAGAGAATTTAAAAACTGCAAAAATTTTTAAAAAAACATAATGGGAAAAATTACTGACAGACTTCAAATGAGTGCACATATCATTTATTCTTTTCCAAAATTACTTACCAAATAATTCTGACATGCTGCTGAAGTAAAACTTCTAGTATGTAAACAACAAATAAAACCCACGTTAAGCCAAAAGACATGTAAGCATTTTGTTCAGAGTATAAACCGTACTTCAGCACATTTCACTTCTGAAGTACATTTTCCTGGTCTTTTCCCATTGAGAAAGGCAGCTAACCAAAAGCTGGATGCATTCAAACTTACCACAATATTCTCCTGAGAGTGGGACTTCTTTTTCCTCGAATTCTTTTTGTCCGCCAGGTCAGCATGATGTCTGAAGATTTCCTCAAAGCGAACTTTGGTTTTTGCTTTTGCCTCACTTTCAACTGAAAAAAGTAAATGAGCCTATGATTCAAAAACCGCTACTCCTACAAAAGTGCTTTAACATGACAGGAGGCAGTAATTATTTTTATCAGGAAAAAAGTTACCAAGAAATGCGTTTAGTACTCAGTTAAGAATTTCCACTGACAGTGTAAACTGCAAGAGGATTACTTGGCAACATGGTACGAACATGGCTGCTATTCACTGATGAAACTGGCACAGTTTTTAATCTGTTTCCTGAAGAAAGCAGATTTTTGAACCGCACACACATCAGGATCAGCAAAAGACCTTGGGCTAGCCAAAGCAGAGCACAGGCGACTGCCCTCATCGTTTATGAGCAGAGGTACCCTGATAAAAGAGGTTAACATACTGTCTCCGGGAAAAGGAGCTGCTCTGGGTTCTTACTGAGCCTGAAACAAATCTGCAAGAGGAAGAAGCACCTATGGATCTGAAACCAGCTAATGTTGAGAGCCTCTGCCTTTCTCTGAACCACAATATTGTTATCACCAGCATTTTGACCCTGGAAATAGCAGGTGTTCTAGCTCTGCCACCCTATGCCCAGGTAATGCTTAATTTATAGCTAACTTAAAGATGTAATCCAGCACACCACCAGAAAAGGTTATTGAGTCCTCAGCTAAAGCATATTTACCACAGTAATTAAAATATTTTAAAAAGCAGACAAATTTTAAAAAAATAAAAAAAACAGTACTTCAAAAACCAGATACAACCAACAAAACAAAATGAAAGCAATGCAGCTTAAAAATTCATCAACAGAAGAAGCTCCTATCGCATAGTTCTATCTATTAAAATACACATCAGAAATTAAACACCAATATTCTTACCTGTTGGCATTTTCAGTCCTCAGTTAAAGGAGGCTCAACAGAACAGCTGCTTCTTCCTCAGGAGTCATCTTTTTTTTTTTTTTTTTTTTTTTTTTTTTCCAAAGTAATTAACAACTTTAATTAACACAACTAGTCCATGGACTCGAAGCTACAAATTGAATGCACATTCATTAACATCAAGTATGAGTACAGGTCTTTCAGACAGTCTAGAAATAAGTATTTCTCTAAATTACAAGTTCTCTGCTGTCAAATATCAGCACCCAATACTTGTTATTTCAAAGCAAAAAATAAAAAGCTATAGCAAGTTAAATAGATAATAGATGGCAAGTATTTCAGTAGTGCTGCACTCAAAGAACAAGTACCCCTACTGTACAATTCATTTATATGAAGTCATTTATACTGAAACTTCCCTAATCAGATTCCTATCTGATAGCATCTTAAAGAAGTCCCATTTTAGCCAACCGATAGCCTACAATGAAAAAGATTCACAGTTGTTAGCAAATCTAACTTTAGTGCAGTTCTATAAATATTTACGTTTACATGTTTTGTTTAAGTATTTGTATCAAGTAGACAAGCAATTACATGAAACTTTTCTGTAAAGAAAAAATGTTACACCCTCCTGGCTGTGGAGAAAAGCTTGAAAATGCAATACAAACAAAGCTGGAAGGCAAATAAAAATATTACACATTTATCACCTCATCAAGAAAAATGAGAATGTTGTTGTAGGGGAACTGCTAGGTCAGGGCTTGAATTGTTGATAGAGCACCTGATGAAGGGGTGGCTGGCCCAGTGGGCACAACTACATTGTTTGCACCTGTGTTCCCCACCTGACCAGAATGGCTGGACCCAGGGTAGAGCTGGGCTGGACTCATGTAAAGGCCAGCCACTGTAGGGAGAATATCTCTTAGGCCTAGGCTTTTTCCTGAAGAGGAGTGCTGCATAGCCAGAGAGCCCCTTCAGTAGTTAGGTGAGTTCAGCTCTCCTGAGATTACTGGTCTACCTGTGAATATTTTGCTTGGTATTGCAAAGAACGTGTCAGAAGCAATTTTGCTTCCTTGTAATCATAACAGTTGTATAATTAAAAAAAAGAAAAGAAAAAACTAGTTTGTAAACAGCAGAACTAATGAAACCTACCTTCCTATGACCTATGAATGCACTGTGCTTCCCTTGGCCTTCTATGCAATACACTATCATCCCTACCTGCCTTTCCAATAGCACGTCAGGCAAGAACTCCAAGTTCTTCCTACATAACAAAGCCTATGTTATGTAGGACTCACAGGACCCAGAATACAACAGTCCTAGTAAATTAAGATGTACTGGTAAATTTTACTATACTGATTAATTCTCCCTGGAACAGCTTCAATCCAAACCATCTAGCACTCTCTTGAACAATACTTGTATACAGATTAGGAGTTGGTGCAGATTATGTGTCTGAGCATCTGCACTACGGTAGCCTCAGGTTCTTCCTGTCTCTTGCAGTGTTATTTGCTTCTTCCTTAGCCCCTTCTGGTACAAGCTTTCAGTTACTTACAGTAGCTTGGTCTGTTAACTGACAAAACCAAGCCAAATTAAGAAACGAGCAAAGAAACAAACAAACAAACAAAAAAGGCAAAGTGTATGGGTTGGTTTGAGGTTAAATAAGTGCTGCTTAGTCAGTTGGCAAATGTTGTTAGTTTTGTGTACTAACCATCCAACAACATAAGAACATCTGAAATGCCCAAGGATGACCAAAATGACTCCACAGGAAATGATCCATTCTGTAATATGTTTCATCCTTTCACCCAGGGTACAAATATTTTCCCTTACTAAAAATCTTTCTACTTGTAGAGCAAAGCTTCATCAGTACAGTTAAACAGTGACTGTTGTGAAGTAACACAAATGCCTTATTCTTTCAGGGAATGAAAGAAGAAAACACTACTGAAAGTACGTTTGCCTTTGAAATGTGTACTGTTATACAAAATGGCCATTTTAAAAGTATAGGTCATCATAAACTAGGAAATACTCATAATTTGAAGGAGTAGAAAATAATACAGTGACAAAACTTTGCATGCTAACACTGGAATCATTTACTGTGAGTGGCAGGAATGTGTAATATTCTCTTATGATTCGTTTATTGATTTCACCCACCTCTCCAAAAATATAATTATAAAATCAAATGAAATGATAAAGCGTACTTCACAAGAACAAAAAATACAAGATGACATAGAGCAAAGCAGTGCAGTAAGTAAAGTACAAACCTACTTCAAGTATGGATATATTTTATAGCCAAAGGATAAGTGAGTCACGTAACAACAACAAAAAAAAACAACCTGCAGGTAAATTAATTTTGCAGATACTTTTCCTCTTAATGGAAAAAATACCTTTCCAAAGGCCAGGCTCATCTTACGTGACCAGTAGTCTCTGTCAAATGCATACATTTGCCAAATCCACCAGGGACTGCATCATTTTCCATTTACCTCTGAGCATTCAGAAAAAAAGTATCTACCGTCTTAGCTCAATAAAATTGAGATTAAAGCCTATAATGACAGTGCTTTTCTTTTGTAGACATTTCTAGTTCAGAATGACATGACATCTGACACGCTTACAGCAATTATTAGACTGGTATAAATATAGATCATTAATCAGCAGGGATAAGAACTGTTTATATAACATCATCTTAAAATAGGAGAGATTTAACCTTACATTAGAGATCAACAACCACAAGCCATCAGAATGGCCCAGGTTGGAAGGGACCTCAAGGATCACGAATCTCCAACCTCCTTGCTACAGGCAGGGCCACCAACCTCCACATTTAATACTAGACCAGGTTGCCCAGGGCCCCATCCAATCTGGCCTTGAACACCTCCAGGGATGGGGCATCCACAACCTCTCTGGGCAGCCTGTTCCAGCACCTCACCACTCATAGTAAAGAACTGCCTCCTGACACTCAACCTAAAATAAACTCATTGAGATTAATCTGGTGAAATGTTACTTTTGCCTGACCAGACTTAATCTTTTCCATGTTAATTAACGTAAGGCAATCCAGGAACAATAAAAATGCAGATTTGGGAACAGAAGTATATTCCAGCCATCAGGAATAACCAGGAAAAATAAATCATGAAATCTTTCAAGAACCAATGGAGACCTTCCAGAAAAAAATCAACTTGCTCTTCTCTAATATTTCACCTTTACTTCTAACTGATTCTGCATCAATTTCTGTTTTTTTCACATTTGCAGTACAGTGAATCACTATATTCTGCAACTACAATCCAGCTATTCTCAACACAAAACATGTCACTTTACCCTGTGCTTTTATTAATAAATGAATAACAAACTCAAAAGCAATCTATATTATAACACATTACATTTTGTATAAATTGTACTATATTATGGAAATTCAGAAATCTTTCAGCAGCTCTTTGTTTACGTCTCATCCTTTAGGTGAGGCCAGCAGATCATCTTGGATTTTACCAAGATCTCATTCAGGTATCTCTACAGACCACTACTTCTAGACTCATGTAAAAGCTTTAATGCAGAATTATACAGGAAAATAATACTGAGTCAAATCTGTTCATTTTTACTAATGATAAATATGAGTTTACAAAGCAGGGGCATTATTCACAAAAATTTAGTATTTAAGTCAAGAAAGCTGACAGCCAACTTTACTGATGCCATGCAAGTATCTATGAACTTGCCTATCAAAACAGCCTATGAGAGCTGCGCAGACATGCCTGCAAATACCTTATGTTCACACTACTTTGAGAGGATATTTTTAAAAGTGGATCACAGAACCACAAGATGGTTGGGTCTGAAGGGACCTTAAAGCCCACCCAGTCCCAACCCCGTGCCATGGGCAGGGCTGCCCCCACATGCTCAGGCTGCCCAGGGCCCCATCCAACCTGGCCTTGAGCACCTCCAGGGATGGGACAAAATGCTCTCTGACTTTCTGGCATTAGCACACCAAAAAGCCTCACAGTAACTGAGGAATTTTTTTTTCTCTCCTTACGCTTGGGGCCTGAGAAGGCTGAAAGAAAAGCTTCTGTCTTGCTGGCAAAACTATGGATTTCAGCTCCCACTGCGGAAGCACAGATTTCTATCATTGCTTACTTCATTTCAAGTCTCTGCCTTATTAATCACGATTACAAACGGTAATTCCCATCAGCAGACTACTGTGAGCGTTTCCAGAGCGCAGTTTCCCTTTTCACGGGGCAGCGGCGGCAGCGAGAGGGACACAAACCAACACTGCCAGCGGCACACACAAGGCTAACCGAGGGGCTGAACCTAGGGCTGCTCAGCCTGTAGGAGGCTCAGACACCATCGATGGGTTCCCCCGCGCCCAGAGGCCCGCCCGTCCGCTCCACGCCGCCACCCGTGCCGAGCACCGCCCGCGCGCACCAACGGCTGCGTCACAGCGCGCTCCGCATCCACCGCCGACCCCCGACCGCCAAGGGGAGCGGGGAAAGACAGCAGAGGGCTGGAGGCGGATCCCGATCTTCCCGCCTCCGGATCCCAGCCGTCCGATGCTTGCCGCGGCCCCGCTTTCCCGCCCACCCGCCCGCGGCATGAAGACATCACTCACATCGGGCCCGTCCGCCTCGGTGGCACCTCACCGTCTCCCCCGTCAATGGGCTCTCCCTTACGCAACGCTTTCCCCCCCTCCGCAGCGCCCCGCAGGTGGTTTAGCCGAAAACAACCCCCGCTGCCAGGGAAACCGCGCGTCTGGCGCATGCGCGCGGAGGAAGGAGAGCGCTGGGTTTCGCTCGCGCAGAGCGTGCTCGTGGGTCTTCCCGCCGGCAAGGAGCGCGTGCGCGAAGTGCTGTCGCCGCGTGGAGGCGGTGGCCTGCGTAGCGGGTGCAGGCGGCCTGGCGGGTGTTTGTGCGTGTGTAGGGTGGTGCTTTGCAGGTCTCGGTGGTGCTGGTGGCTCCCGCCGGCCTTGGCGCCCTGAGGTGGCGGGAGCTGCCTGCCAGCGGGACTCCTGGCGGCGCCGCGCGGTGGCTGTGGGCCCTGGGTGCAGCCTAGAGGTGAGGTGACGTGAAGGATTCTGCAATCATGACATTCGCACTTCCCAAGGGAGCCGTCCCTAGCAATCTGTCAGAAGAATGTAGCTCCTGAAATTGCTTACTAATATCTGTACCAGTGGCAGATGCTTTCTTTTTCCAGTAGTCGCTTGCCCTCCGCAATCTGAAATGCATGCGTGCACCTAAGTGATAGGTAGGGAATGAGGCAGTATCACAACTACTGCATTTGGAATAAACAGACAGAATTTGTAAGCCAATTAGAATTAGAGTAATTGGAATTACTCTCAAATTAACAGTTTCTGTAGAGTTTCTATATATTTTTTTCCTCATGCTTTGTATTTTCACGCAGTACTTCTTAATGTGGCTATTGTTAATTACAGAGAATTAGAATGTAGTTCTTCTAAGAGTAAATTTGGTGTTAGACATACAGTATTAACACTAAACTAACATGGGTTGAAAAGCAATCATCTTCACTCCCAAAGTCTGCAGAGTTGTATATCAACTGGAGCTGGTGGAGATAGATGACTTAAGCACTATTCTTTCAGGTTTATAAGTTTTGTTGGGCTTTAAGAGCCCACTGTGAGTCAGTGAGTAGTGAAGTCCCGAAAGCCTTCTGTGTACCATATTGAACTCTAATCTTAGAGATTGCTTGTGAAGTTTCACATTTATCTGATATAAAAATGCATAAGCACTGCTTTGCCTTTCCATGGCCACACTGTGAGGGAGAGACTGCAGTGACATGGTTTCATGGCATATGCTAGTACCCCCAGTAGTGGATTGCAATAGTTTCATTGCAGATGAGGGAAGAGCCTAGAATTAGATTAGGCAGAGCAAAAGCTGAAGAGGTAGTTCTGTATCCTGTGCAGATATTGTAACAACTGAAGAAAGGAGAATTTGAGGCAAGGTTTTTGGAAGCTAAAAGTCATTTAGTTTTATTGATGACATGGTTTGTGTATTGTCTAGATGGAAGGAACTGAAAAGCAAATGGTACTGCTGTACCTTCATGGCAGTGATTTAGGAAGTGGGCTCTCTGAGAAAGGCTCATAGATGGAGTTCTCTTCACTGTATTGAAGCTTCTAGGTTATGATTAAAATTAATCTAATTAGTTGAGACAGAAAGAAACATAGAATATATTGCTGGATTTGGCAAGCCAACAGACTTGAGGAAAGTGAGACATATTGAAATGAGTAGTGATGAAAGTGATTAACCCTTTATGGTGAACTCTGAAGAGTGCTGTCACTCATGACATTATGCTTCCTGTTAAGTACTGCGATTAAATGAGAATCACCAGATTCTCACAGGTAAGAATTGGTGCCCACCGTATAAATTCACTTTCAGGATATACAGGGTTGTAATTTATAGGTATTGGGACTTAGGTTGACATGTAGATATTATAGCAAGGCTGAAAAATGTCTTACTTTTTAAGGCTGTTGAAAGGCAATATTGTGCAAGGCCTCATGGCTTGGATGAAAGCTGGGCCTGGCATAGAGAGTGACATATGAATGTTAGGATGCTCATTTACACTTCAAATTCAACAGCACTCACTTTTACTCATTGACATTGAAGCCGGCTTTGCTATTGTCAAAGATTTGGCACAGGTCAGCAGCAATAATGGGCTACAGGACCTTATAAATAAAGCTGGCATCAGACATCAAGTTTCCAGGAATACTTCTTTCATAAAAGCACCTTGAAGAGTTCTGTAGCTATTACACTTATAAAGGACTATAAGTATTTCTGCAGCCTGAGCTCTATAAACAAGTCTTTGTTAGGACAGTTTTCCATGTTGGAGGGGAATTCCACCCCATCTCTTCAGCTGACTTTAGTTTGATGTTTTTGGGGAATAAGCGGAAAAAAACACTTCAGCTTTTGTTGGTAGTCGTATGGAATAGATGCAGTGTATTCTGTGATAAAACCAAGAGTATAAGTTTATGTCAAATTTGGTACCTTCATCCTTGGATGGCTAAAAATCACTATTCTGCCGTTAAGAATATTCCGGATAGAAAGCTGCTTTAAGTGTAGACATTTCCATGTGCTTTTCATAATATGCAACATGATTTACTGTTATCAGGCACTTCTTTAAGTTACAAATGACATTTGCTCTACAGCTTAGAATGTTATAATGTGTAACAAAGTCAATGTCACAAAAATCCAAGCTTCACTTGTTACTGCAAAAGCAATGTAAGTCAGGGGAAGTGTCTAAGAAGTCCGGCTGGGAACTTTGTCAGCCCAGAAAATCATGGGATGCATTTTGTCTGTACTTGGATGACCTCTGGGTGACTGAAAAAAAAGTATGCGTATTCAAAACACAGTGCATCCTCCCCAAAAGCATAACCAAAAATACTATTCAGCTGTGTGGGGAAAAACAAGACTCCTGAAAAAGAAAGGTTACATGGGAACATGGAATTTTATTCTTCAATGAATTGGAAAGTCTGTATTCACAGTATTCACCTTTGAAGTGAAGTAGCTTGTGTATCAAAAGTTTTCCATTACTTTTGTATGAGAAGTAGAAAGGGACATGCACAGTGATGTTGTATTATAGTCCACGTTAAGAAAGTTTGCAGATATCATGTGTATTTGAAAATATTGCGGGCATTTTGAAATGATGAAGAATGGATTGTGGCTCTTGTCAGTACCTAACTGACAACAGAAAGGTAAAATCTGTCCCATTCAGGGGATAACCTCTAGGTGTCACTTGAAGGCATGAAATAGAAAATGGATTTTAGATTGGGCAATTTACAGAGGTCTAAATATGCAGTGGGATTCTAGCAGAAGTTGTTTGTGAATTATTTTCTCTTCATAGGCTAATCTAACTTAGCTTCTGGTGCTTTGGGTGTTCTGAGCAAACAAACTTTTTCATATAAGTTGAAGCTTGTGTACTTTATGTGACAACTCACAGACAAAATTTAGTGATACTGTTTAGGAAAAGAAATGCCACGAAATGTCTAACGTCAATTATCAGCTCCTTTAGTAAGCTTAGAAATGAGTCATGCAAGATACTTGATATCCTGAGATCAGTGTATCTTCCATGCCAGATTTTAGCACTTTGAAAGCAAATCGTGAGGCCTAGCTATTTTGGAAATATTTTTTTCCCTAAATAGTTGGATAGTGTAACTATGAATGTCAGTACATGCTTATTTGGCAGTGTAGATTTCTATTGGCTTTTCTCAGAGCTTCAGTTCTTTGAGATGAAAAGATTTCCTTGTTAGTTCAGACCTTGACACAGCCCTTGAAGTTAGTATCTGTAGTTCAGGGGAACACATAAGCATGTAACATTCAGCCCTTTTTCAGTAAAGATTTTTGCATGTGCTTCTGAATGTCCTTTACCCTCACTGACTTTTTTGAGCTGCAGTTATAATTCTAAATTTTAGTAGAAAATGGATTATTTTTTCCTTTCTGCTTTGTCACTTAATTGTGGGTGACAATTCCCCCAAAGCTAAAATTTCTGAAATGGAGAAGTCTTCTTTCACAGTTTGCTACAGTTTTTACCTGTAGGCTGATAACAGAAAATCAATGCACTAATCTGAATGATAAATCTCCTTTTGTCTATGTGAAGATGTTTTCAGTTTAGGAACCTTTTATGAAACTTCAGTCTTAGTTTTCTTACTAATGGAGAGAGTTGGAGCGAGGTTGAAACTAACAAGTAGCACAGTCCTATGATCTGGTGTTAATGGGCAATATTAGATTACTTATTTTTGAATGAATAATTCTTTGTTTTAATTAGGTTGAAGTTTATAGAAAGTTCCTATGAACACACCCTCTTATCTCAGGTTGTGTACTGATGTGTTCAGTCTTGATAATGTGCTTTATTTTTAGAACACGAAGAAGCATGATATAAGCTTATTTTGTTTAACTGCCAGAAAATAAGGATGCAAAAGCCATAGATTCAAATTGCCTTTTCAGGCAGAGAAGTCATCGCCCTCTGCAGCAAAGTTTTGATAGTGATTTCAGTAGGATTAAAGTTTCTCCAGCACTATCTCCTGAACTACAGCTAAAACTCTACTGTTTTTTTTGTTTTGTTTTGTTTTCCCCTGTCTTCAGAACAATAATATTTGCAAAGTCTTGTATTCTTGAACGCAGGTTCTTGCCAAGGAAACTGTTTAGAAGCTGCAGGTACCTCGCCACACGATGGCAGAATAACAGCACTTGTCACTAAGTCTGTTTTTTTCTGAAGCGTTTGAAAACACTGGTTATTGGATCTAATTTTTTCCTGCAACTAAATGCAGCACTATTTAACTTTTCAAAATGTCATTGTTTCCCTTCTATGGTTACTGCATCTTTGCATGCATTTTAATTACACTGTTTTCTGTTTGTGCTATTTTTTCAGTTATACAATATGCTTTAATTAAGAATAATGATGAAAGAATAACGATGAGAGCTTGGTTCTGCTGTATATCCCTATTGTATCCTATGATTAATAGTTTTTTATTTGTTTGGATTACTTGTGGTCTCCATCTTTTCTTAGAAGACTAATGTATTCTTTAAAATGTTTCTGTTGATTTGTATCATCTATATCATTAGGTCGTTTCAGAGATTTTAATTCATAGATTTCTGGTAGGTTCTTATATATTTGTTTTCAGAATATTTAAGCATATTATTTTACTCATTTCTTATCATATTGGAATAATTTATTTGTTTGCATTATTAATATTCATCTCTTTCCAAGCTTCCAGTGTGGTCTGTTGAATAAAAATCAGTATTCCTGCCAGCAAAAGAGTTCCATTTAACTTCAGAAATACCTCAAATTTCTATTGCAAGCGGGCTGTTGGGCAGCCTTGTTTTTGTTTGCTTCTGATCCATCTGTTGTGGATCCTTGCTGCGGTTACACTGAAGGTATCTGAGAGATAAATGAAGCAGTGTGAATGTTTAACTTCATTGCAATCTTGCAATGAAAAGATCTGGAATCAGATAAGGTGGGAAATCTCATTTTCTCATGAAATTCTGCTCTCAAACAAATGTGCAGTTTATTTCTGCAGTTACGGGCACTGAGTAATTAGGCGACTTTGCCTTTGTTAAGGTGTTGCATTGGTGCAGTAGTGTAATCAAATTTTGGTATTAGCACAGAAAAAAAATAAAAATTATAATGATACTTTATAAGTCAATTTACAAATGTGGTCCAAAGGTAATGCCTGCTATTTTAATATCTCATGATGGCAGAGGTGGATATTGGTGGTATGGCAGTAGAGTCTGAACTTTCCCACCAGTATTCCATTGCATGTTGCTGTGTCACAGATGACAGCAAAGGGGCAGTTGGACAAAATGGCTTCTGACATGGAAATATGAAGCAAATGTGTGTCCTTGAATTCCTCCATTGGAAGAAATGGCACCCACTGACCTTCACCAATGCTTGCTGAATTTTTATGGAGACCAAACAGTGGATGTGAGCACGTTTAGGCAGTAAGTGGTGCATTTCAGCAGTGATGATCACAATGTGGAAGACACATCACATTCCAGATGGCCACGCACAGCTGGCACACTACAGAAGTGAGAGCAGCTTGATCAGTTCATCCATGCAAACTGCAAAAAGCTTAATATCACCTTCAATTAATTGGAAATGATGGTGGAATATTGCAAAGTTTGAGCCAAGTGGGTCCCATGAAAGCTCATGCAGGAATAGAAAAAGCATGCAAGTTTGTCAGAACATACTGAACCAATACAAGGCTGAAGTTGACAGATTTTTATATTATGGTATGTAGGCTTTTGTTTGTCACTGACAAAAATGCATAGCTAATGGTGGTGACAAGGCTGAAAAATAGTGTTTTGCTGAAAATTTGCCACAAATAGTGTTAATATGCATATTATTATGTTATTATCTTTGTATCTCGTATAGTTCCATGGAAATAAATAGGAGGCATTACTTTTGGAACAGTATTTCAAATTTATTGGAGTAAAATGAACTTAAAATGGCTAATTAAATATCATGTTGGTTTGATTATACAGAATAAAACAGCACCTGATTTTGCACAGCATATTCCTCCTTAAATAGTATGCAAAACAATAACAGATGCTTGTAATTAAAATGATATTTATCATTAAAAAGAAAAAATCTGGTAAGTAATTCATATATTCAGCACGTAAGTCTAATCTCAGTTCTCCCATTTCTGCCCTTTTTGTTGAGCTGGAAACCAGGAATTGGCTGAAGATGCTTTTCAACCTGTTCAGTTTTCACTTTTGGCTACCTTTACATTCTTCTTTCCCTATCTCTTCAATGAAGACATGGTAGTCTTCTTTATATACATCCTTATCTTGTCACAACTCATAATTAATATCTATTTTAGCCATTGTTTTTATGTACATATTAGCAAATCTGCATTTTTAATTCCCACTTGCATGCCTGTCTGGATTCTGTTATCTCCTGAGCAAAGGCATAACATCATTTGAGGTTCTTGCCAAAAGTTTCTATTTTCCCTGTTTTTGATTTCAGTGTTCTTAGTAGTAACTCAGCTCCTAACTTTGCTTCTGAAACCAGAAATCTAAGAATTATCCTTGATACTCTCTTCTACATTCCAGTTTTCTCTAATGTTTTCTCTGTTTTTTGGAATGCAGTTTGTGCTTAATGTAGTATTGCCTCCTCTTTCTGTGCTTGTGTCTTTTTTTTTTTTTTTTAAACTGGCTTCTTTTTTTATAGTCTGTGTCCTTTTTCTGTTCAACTAGGTACCTTAAAGGCAGATCTTATTTCTTGAGACTGCAAAAGAATAATGGCAAGCCCTCTTTTGCTTCAGGAAGTAGAAGACCCAAGTATTTTGCCTTTGTTTTTGAGCTGTGTAAAGCAAGGACATGGCAACCTGACCACATCTGAAGCAGAGGTATCAGTCATATCCATAGATCAGAGAGATGGAAGCCCTATTGCAAAACCATTGTGTTGGAAAATAACCATATACAAAACCATATACAAAACCATTGTGTTGGAAAATAATAGTGTCAATGTTCATTGGTTTCCTCCTGAAGTTTAGATATTTTATTACTTGCCTCTTTTTCATGTTTTGATTGCCCTCAGTTTCTCTCTGCATTTTTGTGAGTTTACCAATTCTGTTTCTTGCCTACAGCCTTTCCATTAGCAGTCTTTCCCTAAGATTTTAGATACTCAGATTCCTATCAGTTATGTTAGTTTTCCATCATTCTCCATAATCAGAATTCTACCTCTGTATTCAATCATTTTACTTTTTCATGTGTCTGGTCTCTATCATTACTCTTACTCAGTTTGCAGATCCCAACTGGATTAAAAGATAATTTTGAGACTACACCAACTGTCTGAAACTTTCACATTCTGCTTATTAAATCACCTTCTCTTCCAAATGGTTTTTTGTCTCCATTTCCCACTACAGCCCAGTATTCCTCTGCATTATTGGATAAAGCTGGAAAGCAGTCCACATAGATAAATCCAGCTACCAGTGAATGGGTACAAAACCATTTTTGCTTCTTACTATGCTTCTTAGCATACTTTGTGTTACTGTGCATTTTTGAATAGCCTCAGTCTTAGTTCTCACCTTTTGCTTGCACTGCCTGAACTGAAGTATTTTACGGTCTGATCACTCTTGAGTAACTCAGACTAGTCCATTAGATTAATTCTACTGGCTAGTTCTAGTAGTTGCAGTGATTAGCTGTAATCAAGTGAGCTGTGGAGAGAAAAGATTGATACGCTTGCCCTAGAAATGTAGAATATAGGGCTCTGAAGTGACCTGCAATCTATCTGTTCTTTTCAAGGCACAGAGAATGATATCTCTATTATTGCAGGTAGTTCTTAAAATCTTCCAGAACTGGAGGTTACACAGCGTCTTCAATCACAGGTCTCCAAGGACTGGTTATGCTTGTTCTTAGAACATTGTTCTGCCTTTTGCTACCATTTAGGTCTTTTACTCAGCACAGAGAGAATAGATGACTGCCTTTCTCTTTGAAGCAGTAAAGGGGAGAGCTCTTCAAAATGTGAACACTGTTAACACTTTTCCCATCTTTTCTCCAGCCTGAACAATCTCAGTACTTTCAGTCCTTCCCCGTAGATGATGTTTAATAGATCTTCAGCCATGCCTGTTGCTCTATTCTAGACTCCCTGGAGTTGCTCCAAACATTTTTAAAAGCATGGTGCCTAAATTAAATGCATTAGTGCAGCTAAGGTCCTAGTGTTGAAGAAGTAAAATTCTCTTAACAATCTTTTGGATGATAGTCATGAATGCTTTTTCCAGTGGCATTGATATTGTTGATTCTTGTACAGCTCTTGATCTCTGTAGTTTCAGAACTGCCAGGTAAACATTCCTCAAGCTGTACATGTGTTCATTGCTTTGCATGTAGTCTTGTACATATCCTTACTGAATTGCATTCTCTTCAGATTTATTTCCCGTTTGTCAAGGCCCCTTTGAAGTATAGCCTTCTTGTCTAAAATGCTTGCAGTTTCTCATAGGTTGGTGTAACCAGCAGTTGAAAAAGCTTCCTCTTAATTACAACATTCAATTAATAACTAGTACATGAAATAGTATCAGACTCAGGACAGACTCCTGCAAATCTCACATTAATACTGCCTCCATGGTGGCAGTGAATTAACAACAGCTACTTCTAAACAGTTTTTCAATAGCTTTTATATCACCTGTATGCTCATTTTCTCTAGGCTAGATATCTCAGACTTGCTTATGCAAGCTGTACGTGAGTACAAGAAATATATATGTATATACACAAAAGAAGGATGTGTGCCATCTGTTATCCTTACCTAACACCCAAAGTTTGCTACCCTCTCTGTATGATCTAAACCAATTTATTTTCAGCACATCTATGATGGCTATTACTTCAGTCATTTAGTGTCTTGATTATTCATTCCATGACAATTTTCTTTTAAATGAGAAACTCCTGTTAAACTGGTTGTTATATAATTTCCTGTTTTTCCCCTGCTCTTCCATAGGTTTCTTTGTTATAGCACTGTTATAGTTACTTTTATAGTACTACAATGTAGGACTAATTATATCTATTGGAAGAAAAGTTTAGGTGACATTCCTGTTGTTCTTAAAAGTGGAAGGTGAGAGGCAGAGAGAAACTAGCCTATGAATAATCAAGCCACTGAATGACTTTCTGCCATTCTAGGGAGAAAATAATAATTACATTATCTGCAGCACACTCTCAGTAGTTGCAGCTCAGCATTACCAATTTTTTCACTTCAGTTATGCTGAGGATAGCTGGCAGTGCCTGCATAGTTCATTATACAAAGACAAAAGACCAGTATTTAACAACATATATTACATTTTTTTCAGAGACAAAACATTAGACATCGGAGTAGTTCTGAGGTGAAGCAATTTTTTTTTTTTTTACTGCCAAATTACAAATGTTTTGTTCTTTTTCTTAGGCTGATACTAGTCCTTATCTTTGAAAGTGGAAACAAGTTTTCTCTGGTTCCACTGGCAAGAATTTGTATTCCTTCAGTAGCTTCAGTTATGGTTTGCTTGCTAATAGTTTAGTGTTGTCACTGCTGGGAGCTAAACCACTGTCTTTGCTTGGGAGATACAGCTTAATCCTCTGAGAATTGAGCCATTTTATGAATCTTTAATTTGTAGAGACACGTATCTAGAGAAAAACTAATGGTCTCTTACATCCATAGGTTGATGATGATTTAATGGTCCTTTCAGCTCTTAAACACTGTGCAGTTTAAGAATTCCTCAGACTTTGTTTTATTTCATTTTCTGGCTTCAATGAGTATGGCCCTTTTGATTATTTTATTCTAAGTTTTTATCAGTGTGTAATTCTGTGTTTAGTAGAAGAAGTCTATATTTCACAGACTAAAAATAAACACTTCATTGCAGTCTCTGATGTGAAGCCACAACAAATAATGGTGTTGCTTATTTGAAAATGTTTTCCATGCAATTCAAGTATGAAAGACCCTTGTTAAAGGCAAATAATTCGGATTGATTTTTGCTGCTTCAAGTCAGCTGAGAGTCTTATATTTTCAGTCTTCTTTCCATGTAAAGCATGGATCAGCACGTACTCAAAGTATCACTGTATGATTCAGTCAGAAAGAAGGACTAAATTGTCCCCAGCTATGGATCATTCCTGTGTGTTTGCATAAGAAGTAGAAGTTTATTATCACTCAGATTGTTTACAGCTGGCTTTTGATTGTTTCAGGCTTAAGTTTCTCTGACTTTTTTTAAAGTCAGATTTAGAATAAATGCAGTGTTGCTTTTTTTTATTTACTAACAGGTGTAAAAGTATACAAAACAGTAAATTTTTTGGCACTCAAGAATTGCCTTGTTCTTTTAAACTTAGTTTTTTTGTTTGTTTGTTTGCATATTAAAGTCTTTTAAATTAAGTCTTTAAAAAGACTAAGATATAGAGAATTATATAGAGTTATGTTTTACTCATCTATATCAGATAGTTTGATAACAAAGGTAGTGATATCTTGTGCTCATGTAAGACTGTTTTTTCATGGTATTTCCATAAATCTATGTGTTTCAGTTGGAAATGTTCCCATCAGTCTTCCAGAGATTCAGGAAAGAGCATCTTTTATTCCTTAATAGCTTTCTCTTGACCATCTGTGGTCAAGCCATGCTTTCTCCTTACCGTTTCAAGAGCCTGGATTGTTCTCAGAGCCAGAAGGGGAGAAGCAGAAAGTCCAGCTGCATGAGGGAATTCTGCTTTTTTCTTACCCTGTGACTATTGGAAAGATTCTTCTCTTCACATTTCTTTACATCTGAGCACAGGATTTGGAAATGCTTTGAAAGCTGATAGCTTCAAGAAAGCAGAGGAGACTAAGAAGGATAGAATGAATTCAGAGGGCATGTTTTTCAAGAGCCAGGAATCTGACATACACGGAATTGTGAACTCTTGTCGCAGAAGATGAAGTTCTTATGGTGATATGTTTCAAATGAGACTAGCTGTGATTCAGACACACCTGATACAAGCATATCATTATCTCTGTCATTTTCTCATTAATGATCATGTGGTTGTTATAAAGAGCTGACAGAAAATTGCATAAATTATCATACAATTATTATATAATAATTAGCCCTCATATGTATATAATATAGAAAAATTAAGTCATGAAATGAACTTGCTTGCAGAAGTGCTAAAAAAATTACCTGTCACACACAGTTTACACTGAAAAGGCAGTAGAAGAATGCATTTTTTCATTGATAAACGAAGCCTTAAATCTCCAGGCAAACTGAATTTCATTAGCAGAGAAATTAAAATTTGATCTTTCTATTAAAATAGCTGCCAAAGTTAAGGGATCACAGCAAATATGCATGATATGTTGCTCATACCACCTGGGAATGGGGGGAGTTTTCCCTTTTCCTACAGTAAGTAGTAGTTATTACTCAGGGAGACCATGCCCAGGGGTGCAGCCCTTCCAAGAACCAGGGCATAATTCTAGCCATTGCAAAAATTTTTCACTATTTTCAATTCTTAGTTCTGCTAACCATGTAAAAGCACAGAGACATTCCAAAGTATCTGACAGATAATGTGTATTTTTCTCATTTGTTTTTCTCCAAAAGTTGTGATATATTCTTTGTAGTGCAACCTTTGCATTGTTTTGAAATAAACTTGCTTTTCTACGTCTTTCCTGGTCCTAAGTCTAATTTCATGGAATCAAATAGATGTTAAATTCCATCATGAGCGGGAATGTAACACTTCCTGACTCTTTTAAATGCCATGTCATTATTCAGCCTAGAAAGCCAAACCTATCCTGGGCTACATCAAAAGAAGCATGGCCAGCAGCTGAAGGGAGGTGACCCTGCCCCTTCACTCTGCTCTGGTGAGACTTCAGTTAGAGTAATGCGGAGTTCTAAGTACGGGAGAGACGTGGTCCTGCTGGTATGTGTCCAGAGGGGTGCCATAAAAATAAGCCAAGGGCTGGAACATATTCTCTACAAGGACAGACTGAGAGAGCTGGGGCTCTTCAGGCTAGAAAAGGCTCCTAGGAGACCTGATAGCAGTCTTTCAGGTATCTAACGGGCAGCTATAATAAAGAAAGGGACAGACTCATTAGCAGGGTCTGTTGTGACAAGGCAAGGGGAAATGGTTTCCTACTAAAAGAGGGTTGATTTAGACCGGGTATAAGGAAGAATATTTTTTATGATGTGAGGTGAGGCTCTGGAACAGGCTTTTCAGAGAGGTGGTGGATGTCCCATCCTTAGAAACATTCAAGGTCAGGCTCGATGGGGCTCTGAGCAGCCTGATTAACTGTAGGTGTCCCTGTTCATTGCAGGGAAGTTGGACAAGGTGACCTTTAAAGATCCTTTCCAAATAAAGCAATTCAGTGATTCTATACAGATTGGGAAGTCCTGAAGAATCCATCAGGAACATCAACTAAATTGAGGTGGTTTGGTCTTTGACCACCAAACTTGACCAGCAACTTGAATTCTAGATTTTGGAAAAGAACAAAGTCACTGTTAGAGCACATTAGCAAAAACCTTTCTCTAGGAAGAGAGGATATAATGTTTGGGAATTGCCTTGAACTGTCCTGTCCATGCTTCAGGCAAAGCTGGCAAGTTAACAAACTATTACATACATACATTCTTGAGGGATGAAAGAAGTGAGAGAAAAATTAATCGAAGACAGATCCCAAACATAAGAACACACTAAGTGCTCTTTATGAAATGTAACTTTTGTTCTTATAACATTGCTTTCAAAAGCTTACATAAAGTAGAAATGGTACATTCTTTGTGAAAACAAATTAGTTGATAGAATGTCCACATTAAGGAGCATTTATGTATCTGAATAACCTTTAAAAAAAAAAAAAAGACTGAAATTTGTACTTCAAAAAAACCAAAATTCTCTTTTCTTTGGGAATGTGGTTATTTTAGACAGTGGAAAACACAGACTTTCCTCGGCAAACAGGGAAGGAGACCTTGTTCTCTGAAAGGAAAAGTCAGGATATGCAGATTTGTCTGAAAGGTCTATAAATTAGCTGAGTGGGCATTGATACTGCACAAAAATTGTTTGAGAACCTCAAGACCTCCCTTAGGACTGGAAAGTATTAGGAAAGGGCTAACGTGGGGAAGAAGAATTATTATTTGGTAATAGTTTTAATATCCACCTGGAATGAAAGAGAAAGGGAGTTTCTTCCTGAAACCTGATAATATCTCCTTAGTTAAAACACTGTTTCTCAAAGTTATTTTTCTAGAAATTCACTGTTCCTGTGCTCATCAGAATCACACAAATTTCCCTCTGTCTCTTTCAGCTGTTTTGCAGAAGCCTTTTCTATCAGATTTAGCACAAAGCAGGCTTAGGAATGTAAACAGCAAATTGCACATTCACAAAAAACATTAAGGAACAAAGATAGCAAGTTCCCTCTTGGTTGAGAAGAGTACAAAGCCAGAGTTCATGCCATTTTTGTTCAAACCTGTAATGACTTTGAACAGAAACTGAACGTCTCCTATTTGTAGAGCTTTGTTCTTGTCTATACTTCATTTCTTCTGTGTATTATTTTGCTCGAGAGAATGAGGTCAAATACAGAATTTTATTTATATTTTATGACATCTTTGTCCAGTTCTATTCAATACTGAAATACATGATGCAACGGTTAAAAAAAAATATTTTAAACAAACTGCTTTTGTATGATTGCACTTGAAATGGAGGCTAAATATCTCAAAAGTCATGTTACTTTTCAATAGGAATATGCAATAATCTAAGTTAAGAAAATAGCATTGCTCCTTGTATGTACGCAGAGTTCTATAATCAATGAATAAAATGCAGCATATTTTGTTAAAGAAAATGTGTATCCAAATTTTCAGTACATGGCAATCAAACAAGAGTTGATAAACAACTCAGTTTAAAACGGTGATTCATATGAATCTAGCTTTTGTTTTAATTTCAAGCTTTCCCAGCATTACTTCGATTTCTGAAGAATGACATATTGATTTGTCCAGTAAGCTCCTAAAGAATGCGTTTGTTCTTCTAGTCATCGTATTACTTATTTCTACTTATTACTTTCCAAATGCGCTAAATTGAAAAGCTGAATAACACTTTAATCTCAAGCTTCCTGTATTTTGAGTTTCTTATTCTTTTCTGAAGGAAAGCTGGCAACCTGGAGAACGTATTGCACTTTTTTCTTTTAAAACAGATAGAATTTTTTCAGCTTAAGAATCATTGTAACTGTTTTTGCATAGTTTGTGAATATGAAGTAGCATTGCATCTTAACTGGTACTGAAGACAATTGAACAGTGACAAGTCAATCCAATAGAATGCTGCCTCCTACCATTAGACTTGTAACAGTTTTGACATCTTCTTTTCTTTAAAAAAGGAAAACAAAACAACAACAACAACAACAACAAAAAACAAAACAAAACATGACATGAAATGGCTCTTAACATGAGCCAGCAGTGCGCTCTGGCAGCTTGAAAGGCAAATGGGATCCTGGGCTCCATCAGGAGAGGGGTGGTCAGCAGGGAGAGGGAGGTGATTGTCCCTCTCTACTCTGCTCTTGTGAGGCCCCATCTGGAGTACTGTGTCCAGGTGTGGAGCCCTCAGTACAAGAAAGACATTGAGATTTTGGAAAGGGTCCAGAGGAGGGCGACTAAGATGATCAGGGGGCTGGAGCACCTCCCCTATGAGGACAGGCTGAGGGAGTTGGGCTTGTTCAGCCTGGAGAAGAGAAGGCTGCGGGGTGACCTCATTGCAGCCTATCAATACCTGAAGGGAACCTACACCCAGGAGGGGAGTAAACTCTTCAAAAGGGCTGACAATAGCAGGACTAGGGGAAATGGATCCAAGTTGAAGGAGGGAAGATTTAGGTTGGATGTTAGGGGGAAGTTCTTTACAAGGAGAGCGGTTAGGCCCTGGAACGGGCTGCCCAGGGAGGTTGTGGATGCCCCGTCCTTGGATGAGTTCAAGGCCAGGTTGGACGGGGTCCTGGGCAACCTGATCTGAATGTGTGTGTTTGGTGGCCCTGCTAAGCAGGGGGGTTGGAACTACATGATCCTTGAGGTCCCTTCCAACCCGGGTGATTCTGTGATTCTGTGTGATTCTGTGAAAACCTTTCTGTGGACCTTCTTATTTCACACTAAGGTGAGTATTATATCATGAACTTTGAATTTCATAATCCCTGTTAATTATTTTGTATCGCTTTATTAAAAACTTAAAGTTTTCAATTTCATACTGAAATTTCATACACTTCATTCAAATACTCTCTTTGAACACAAATTCACTATTAACAGTTGCTATACAACTAGGCATCTAAGTTAAATAAGTGGTAGAACATTAAACAGAAAAATTACATGACATTAGAGGCCTTTGTTATTTAAACAGGACAAAGCAAACAGGCTTGTTTTTAAAATTTGAGGTATTAATTCACAACAAATTAAACACAAAGAATGTTGCCATGCTCAAATAATAAAATCATGTATATATTTAACATTTAAAAGGTCACAATTCGTAATTCCATAATTTCTTGAATGAAACTCATAGCCTCTCTGATTAAGCAGTTGAGCATTATTGTGCATTTTGTATGAAAATGTAAGCTGAAAGATTTATAACTCATCCTCGTCATCAGTCAAAATATGTGTCAAACATGGCCCCTGTACAAGTTCTTTAACATATTTTTCCTATGGTTAGTGATAGCCAACTAATCCATAATTGCCTTATCATAAGTCATTTTTTCTCCCAGGATTAGCTATTTTCCTCTCATTTAGGTCTTGCAGAATCAGCACTAAAGTTGAACACTGTTTATACTGTAGGACGCACAAATGCTTTCCCAGCACCAGTGGAAACAAATGACATCTCCCAACAAGACAGGGATGAGACTCCAGTACACAACACTGTTTAAACTTCAAATCCCAATTTAAAATTGACCACGGTTGCAGGATACACTCTGTCCTAGAAACTTCCATAAGCAACTAGATTTTTTTTTTGGCATGCACTGGAACACATTGCACTGGAGGTTGTGGATACCCCATCCCTGCAGGCATTCAAGGCCAGGCTGGATGTGGCTCTGGGCAGCCTGATCTGGTGGTTGGTGACCCAGCACATAGCAGGGGGGTTGAAACTTGATCATTGTGGTCCTTTTCAACCCAGGCCATTGTATGACTCTATGATTTTCCAACACTACCAGCATCAGATCTCACTCTAGACTATAAAGGAACCATTACTGAAGCCATCTTTCAGTCCGTACTCTACCAAGCCATAACCATAAACCTCATTCAAAGCAGTTATAGTTCTTGCCAAGTAGCTCTGACACAACACTAAGCTGGACCCATTCACTCCATAGTTCTCATGCTACTTCTATTAAGTGCGTCAGAAAAGCAAACTCTTGGAGCTCTGCTGTCTTAAGACCTAAGTATAACACTAATCTAAGCTAACTACAGCCCAGTGACTGCCAGATCCCCAGTAGTCTACCATAAACCTTTCACTGTTTCTTGCAGCAGCACCACTCTTGACAATTTCCAGGATAAACATAGGTCTTCAGTCCCTATCATCCTTAATCCAAAGCCTGACACAGTCAGACCTCAACCCTGGCCTTAGCTGCAGTGAATGAGAAGCAGGAGGGACCTAGACAGGCTTGAGCTGTGGGCCTAGGTTCAACAAATCCAAGCACAAGGTCTTGCAACCCCTATTACCAG